GATTAGAATTTTTTTTTTTTGGGTAGCAAGTTACACGACCTCCAACACGGTCGTGTACTTGGCCGTGTAACTTAAAACTCATTTTTCCTTGAAAATAGAAGGTTACACGGCCTTCCACACGGACGTATACCTTTTCGTGTACATTTACGCCTAAAACAAGGGTTTTTCAGCCATAACACTTCAAAACCTAATCAACAACATTCTTTCCACTTATAACCCTTGGATATTCAATCAAAACCACTTTTTCTTTGTTCATAAACACGTCTCAAAACACCTCAAGGAGTTCATATTTACATAGTTACATATACAATTCAAAAATCTCTTAGGATGCATATGCTCGGCATAATGAGAGAGAGGAGAGGGAGATCGTCGACCAACTCGTCACTTATGACGTGAATTGAACAACAAAAGATGACTTTAACTTTCACTTCTTGCTTCTTAGTACCTAAAAAGATAATTGCATTTTTAATGAGATGCTACTCAATGAGAGAATAATAATCCATTGAAACCATAACATGCAATCACGTCATCCAGTATCATCACATATAAACAATACGGGTAGTTCATATGACTCTAAGATTACATGCTTTTCTTTTTCTTATTGGTTATAACTTGGACATGTCAAGTTTCACCTCGGGTACTTGTAACTTGTAAACTTGTACATATGTATTGTCGGCCGGCTTTTATAACTTGTAGTTGACCCGTTGGGTCCTTGTAAACTTGTATTTACGAAACTTGGACAAGCCGAGTCATAACCTTAACCTCTTAGTCTTGCATATATCATGAATATTTCACATATAGCATATACAACATGCATAGCTTACACCATGCTACATATCCATTATAACATCAATAAACATAACATTTGCGTCAACTAGCAAACGACACATCATTCACATCATAGTATCAATATCAATAAACATAATATTGTTATAAAATCAATAAACACAACGTTTGTATCAACTAGCAAACGGCACATCATTCACATCATAGTATCAATATCAATAAATATAATATTAGCACTCAATAGCAATAACACATCATGACATAACTATTATTATTCAACTCACAAAAATGACGTCTTCGCCGTTTATCAATACGTCACGTCTTGCACCTCATGCTCCTTGGCGTCTATAAACACATACACATATACTTTTATAAGTCATTTTATCGTGATCAAACTTCTAAATATGCTCGAGGTACAAAATATGACTTTAGGGTTAACTTATTTATTTATGGGTACTTAACCCATTTTCACTCTTTCTACCATAAGTCCCAAAATACAGATTTAAATGATGCAATTCTAGTTTCACATGAAACTAGACTCATAGAGCTCTAACATATCCAAAAATCAAGTCTAGGTACGAAATACACAACTCATGGTGATTTTCTAAAAATCAGAGTTGCTGCCATTTCTTTATGGGTACTTGACTCCTTCACGAGTTCACACTCTTTATACTATAAATCCTAAAATACGAGGTACAATGACAAAATTTCAGTTTCACATGAAACTAGACTCAAAGGAATCTAACATATCCAAAAATCAGCCCAATATTTCATATACATGATGGGTTTTTCCTCTCTTTCTCTCTCTCAAAATGGGAAACCAGATGGGATAAGAAGAGATAATGATCGAGTAAGTAATCTTGATAAGGTTGTGAAGATATTTTGGCAAAGTTCATTTTGATCCCTTAAGTTTTGGCGTGTTTTTATTCTAGTCCCCCAACTTAGATTACATTCAATTAAGCCCCTAATTCTTTCTATTATTCAAAATACTTATTATCCAATACCCCACTAACATGTCATATGCAAGTATAATTATATGCGTGTAATTCTTAAGTATGCGTGTATGCATGAACAAGTGTATGTTTTAGGGACGGGGTTATTACATCATGTTTATAACTTAGTCGATTATGATCTTTCATTTTTTCAAAATATATTTTTGGTTTCTCATATTTTTAAAAGATATTTTTGGCCTCTTATATTTTTAAATCTTAGAACAAACACACATATCGGATTATATTTTCTTATTGATTAAAATTAATCTCCTAAATTTGTTGTTTATTATAAAAATTCTAATCAAATTAATTTTTTATTTTTTTATGTAGTTTTATTTGTTAATAAATATGATTTATTTTTTTCTATGTATGAATTTTAATATATTTTTAAAAATAAATTTAAATAATTTTCATGTTTCTTTGCCTTATTCTTGATAAAATCAATTTTTTAAATAAACATTTAAGTTGTTTTTATTGCACTTTATTTACAACTTAATTTTTTTGAAACGTATTTTTTACTTTATGCTATACACCCTAACTCGTTAAGTATGATCATGATATATACAAAAAAATATTAAAATTATTGATTTTATTAAAAATTAATTATCCATCTACACACATAACGACAACTATTTTCTATTAATAATTTTTAATATTTTAAATTTATTTTATTTTAAATAAAATAATATTTTAAAAGAATCACTTAATTATACAAATAAAATAATATTATTGATTGCTTTGTGTGTGTGTGTGTGTGTAAATCAAATTTATATATTTTGAAAAAGTTAAAGAAGTTTCGTTAGTTAATTTTTATATAAGTTTTTATATTAATTGTTGCTTAATTTCTTTAATGCAATCTTATGAAAAAATATTAAGATGTTTTTTAAAAATTTTTATTAAATTTTTTATTTATATTATTACGAGGTTTTTATTTAATAATGAATACATAGCAACAACCGAATTGTGTTTTTTTAACAACAAAATCTATGAAAAACATAAAAAGAAATGAATGTAATACAAAATTTGATTAAATATGTTGAAATTAAATGAAATTTTATCTTTTATCTTTAATTTAATATATATTAGGGGATAAACAATATAATAAAAATTATTAAACTGAAATAAATATATTTAGTTGGACCCATTGCGTAATGTGAAAACCAACTAGTAAAAAAAAAGTAAAAGATTTTGGATAGGTTACTATTTACAATACGATTTGTTTAGACTTATGCGCATCATTCACTCGGTTTCATATGCATTATTCATTTTTACTATGAATTGTATTTTCGTGATTTTTGAGTTTTTTTTACATTCATATGCAAAGTTGACATTGTATTTCATTTTAATTCTTGATATTTTCAAAAGATATTTTTGGTCCCAAGATAGACCAAGCATGCATGCTTGCCTTTTTGTTTTCTTTTTTTTTTTCCTAGCAATTTATTTTAATTTGTTTATTATTAAATTAGGTGTGAAAATTATGGAAAACTAATTATTATTTTTTCAATTTTCAATGCAAGCTAGTGATTATGAAATATATATATATATATATATATATATATATATATATGAGAGAGAGAGAGAGAGAGAGAGAGAGAGAGAGAGAGAGAGAGAGAGAGAGAGAGATTTTAGAATGAATATATATCTGGAATTATATTACTTTTATTATTTAAAATTAATCTCATCGAGTTTGTCATTTTTTAATGAAAATTCTCATCAAATTTATTTTTTATTCTTTTTTCAATGTAATTTTACTTTTTTAATAAATATAATTTATTTATCTCCGTTTATGAATTTTTGAATTAATTTTTGTTTAAATAAATAATCAATGAAAAATAAAAGTCACATGTTTTATTTGCTTATTCTTTATATAATCAAAATTTATCAAAATCAAATTTATAATTGTTTTTATTATATTCTATTAACTTTAATAGATTTCTTACAACTTAATTTTTGTTAAAAAAATATTTTTTGATTTATATTACATACTTTGATCAGTCGAGTATGGTCATGATGTATAAAAAAATTGAAATTATTAGTTTTGTTGAAAATCAACTATGCATCTATATACATAACACCAACTATTCGCTATTAATTCTTTTTTAATATTTTAGAATTAATTTATTTAAAATAGAATAATTAAAATAATATTTTAGAAGAATCATCCAATAAATCAAATATAGTTTTTTTATACTAATATTATTGATTATATATATGTGTGTGTGTGTGTGTGTGTGTGTGTGCATATTTTTTAAAAAAATAATCTTCTTATCAACATTAAAATAGAATAAAAAGATTCATTTGTTAATCTTTATATAAGTTTTTATATTAATTGTTGCTAGAATCTTATGAAAAAAAATGTTAAGATATTTTTTTAATTATTTATTTAGATTATTACAAATTTTTATTTAAGAATGAATGCATAAGAAAGAACAAATCATGTTTTTTTAACTTCAAAATTTATATATAAAAAAAAAACATAAAGAAGAATAAATTAAATACAAAATTTTGATTAAAAATTATAAAATAAATTTTATAATATTAAAAAACTTAATAGTAAATTGTTGGTGTTATGTGTGTAGATGCATATATATTTAATTTTTAATAAATCCAATGATTTTAATCTTAATCTGTAAGGAATATAATGAAGTTAGTAGACTATAATAAAAAAAAACTACAAAATTAATTTTGATATATTTTGATTATATAAAAATAAGCAAATAAAATACATCAATACTTTTTTTTAATTGATTATTTATTTAAAAAAATTATTCAAAAATCTATACATGGAGAAAAATAAATCATATTTATTAATAAATAAAATTATATAAAAAATAAAAATTAATTTGATTAGAATTTTCATATAAATGAAAAATTGAGGAGATCAATTTTAAACAATAAGAGTTATTTTTGTTTTAATTATAAAATTTATGAAAACATAAAGAAGAATAAATTGAATACAAAATTCTGATTAAAAATTATAAAATTAAATAATTTTTTTTCTTTTATCTTTAATTTTAAATATTTTAGTTGACAAATAGCATAATATAAGCTATTAAATTAAAAATATATATTTTTTATTCAGCTTGAAGCATAGCTTAGAAAGCTGACTAGCATATTATTGTTGTTGTTGTTGTTGTTGTTATTTCTAGCACCATTAGCGGGGAATTTCAACTAGTATATTACTTTTATGTTTGTTTTGGATTTTTTACTCTTGGTATCAAATTACACCTCAATTCTTTTCCAAGAAGGGCATAACATCCCCGATGCTTGATTTTCAAATTTGATCCCCTTTACTTGATTTTCAAATTTGACTTCATTTTCTGATGCTTAATAACATAAAGAGATTATTGTTATATTACAAACATAGATATACAAATGTTACTTTTATATTCAATATTCTACTATAGGGAAAATAATTAATGTTCCCCTGTAGATATATAAGTATTGTTTATTTGTTGTTTTACAATCTTTGCCCCATGATGTTGCAATACAGAGCCAATAGTATACTGTAACGACCAACTTGCTGTATGCTGAAATTAATACTTTATGCCACATGACACCTACAGCCTAATTAAGAGGTTTTTCACCTCACTTATTCTATATTAAATTACAAAATAATTACATGAAACAGAATTTGAAATTTGGTGCCATATGTATGTTCATGTATGGACTTCCAAAAATAGGCCGAGAAACAACACTTCTTGGAGCAAGTCCAATGTTGCGATTTTTGAACCGCTGATCGATGTGATAGCTGGTTACTGTCTGATATCTCTTCGTTGATGGGGAAGGAAGAGGCAGAGGTTTTGGTGGCTTTGGTGCTGCAACTTCTACAGGAATATAAATTGCCTTTTGAATGTCTTCTAACATTTCTGTGTTAGAGTCATATCTATTGCTAGAATCGAAGAACATCTGAAAAACTTTGGCGCAAGATAAGTGGAGATGCCTGCAGGATTTAGAGAAATCATTAAAACCATCCATCAGAGCATGTTCCAGCAGCTCTTTCTTCTTTTTGTCAAGAATCTCTCTGACATAAGCAACTGAATCTTCGATGTCTGCCTCTGGATTTTCTTTTAAGTGGAGAGTGACAAAGTTCGTTTTCCCTTGCTTTCGTTCCTTCTGTGATTGCACAATATATTAGCTTCATATACCACAATGAAATGAACTGTAAAGAATACAGGAAGGAGGATAAATCACCTCATAACTTTGTATGTCATTCAACAAGCGAGAAATAACCATTAATGATTTGGTAATGCTTTCATATTGGGCTGGATTGAGTTGGTGAGTGGGAATGCTTGGATTCAAGAAACATGAAGCTGGAAGAACTATGGTGTGTGAAGCAATAGATGTCATGCCAGTCTCAAGATACTCCTCAGCTGCTGGTATGAATCCACTTCTGCTCCATTTAGCTTCCGTAAACCAGGAAGCAAATGTTTCGATCCACTTCATACCAGGGTGAAAAAAAGAAAAAAGGATACGTTAACCAGCTGTGCAGAAAAAAATAAACAAAACAAAAGGGTGAAGAAAAATGTTGGAAATCTTACTATATTTCGGAGATTGTCTGTTATATCAGTTCCGCGTTGTCGAATGTGTTTTCTTGCTAATTCATTTACAAGGTTGTCAAGGGCATCAAAGATAGTCTTACTGTGGCCACTCAAGCCTTTAGCATCCCATCTGTCAAAGTAAATAATGGGAGCATTAGGAGTTTGTTCTCTCTTCGTAATCATTTAGTTCTCTGTATAAGCACAATGGTTTAATTACCTTCGAACTGCTTCTGTGATTTTTTCCAAATCATCTAAAGAGCCTTCCATATCATAAAAATCATCAGCAACCGTGATAACTACTGCACTCTTTGCTACCATCAATCTTGTCTCAGAATCCTGAGGCAGTGATGTGCTAGCAGAAATGGCGAAGTAGCAATAAGCAGTTTTCTCTCGGCCGAATCCCATGTCACTAAGGCCCCAGCTCTTAGACCACCTATCTCACACAACCAAGAACATTAATTTCCTGTAAAATTTTCAAGAAAAAAAAATACCGTAAAACTATATATATTTATTGAAAGTTTTTATATATCTTATGTATTACCTTGTCAGTTCTTCCAATTCGCTCTTGTATATCATTTGTCGAAACTCATAGTTTTGCACAGCCAGTTGCTTAAGTTTGTCATTATGAAGGCTTGATAACCTGACGTCAAACCTTTGATTAGTCCATGCCAATAATTATAAAGTATGGAAGTTGTTGTAGTGCTTGACATTTATTTTATTTTATGAGGATGGAAGTTGTTATGGATATACAAGTTTAGTTTTAGCCTTAACCTTAACGTTTAACATTTTGAATTGAGTACTGGTAAATTATAGAGTTAACATTTCAAAATAATTATTTTGATTAATTGGTAACAGCTCTCTACCTATGGAAGGAGGCTTTTCCCATCCATAGAGCGGTGCTATCCTTTTCTTCCATCCACATTCTGTGCTCCAGGTGATCCAGCCGAGCCATCCATGGAAACCTCAACTCGTGCTTAATCTGCATATTTAGCACAAAAAAAGTTAGGACAAATGAGATATGCACAGCTAGTTGTTAGGAATATTCAATTTTTTGTTTTCTCTTAAAGTAGAATATATATATATTGGACGTTTTCAGAAACTATTCCTTGAAGATAATACCATTCACAAACATTAAAACCAATCAAAAATACTTTTTGTTTCTCGAAATGATAATCCACTTGACTTTTCAAACAGTCAAATCAATGATTTTTTAAAGAATACTTTTCTAAAATATTATTTTTTTATTTAAAGAGAAAATCTATTTAATTTAATTTTACATTCAAAATAATGGTATTATAAAAAATATATAATATTAAAATTTTTAATGAGACAATTATTTTGAAACAAATATAAAAAGAAATAAGGATAATTTTTTTGATACAGAACATGAGCTCTATTTGTTATAAAGAGATCGTATACGTTTCTATTTATATTCTACTCAAAATACTAATTTGATCACAATTTTAAAATTTTAAATGATGTATTTTTTTAAAATATCCTTAGTTATGAAATATGAGATAATAATTAATAAATTTTTTAGTATGTGTAAAAAGTTTAAAAAGATATGACAGAGGGAGTCCTACTCACTTTTTGGCTGTATTTCATGAAAATGTCTCTTGAAAAGCAGACAGGGGATGCATTTACTGCTTATTTTCCAAAGAAATAGAAAAGCTCTTTTCAAAAAAGGCACAAGCGACAACTCAGATATTAATCATCAAGCAATTATTGAAGTAGGAGAAACAGTTTAATCCTGCTTCTGTTGTACTTAATTAAATTAGAAATTAGATGCTAAATGTTTTCTTTTATCAATGGGAAGGTAAAAAATTACCACTGACAGGAAACTTGGGAAAGGAACAGTACGCTGATCTTTGTTTCCCATTGCTATGATTTTCTCAAGCAACTTTCTTGAAAGGGATCTTGCCTCCTCAAGTTCATTTTCTCCCGAAAACATAAGATCGGTACCCCTATAAACATTAAGCATTACACTTGAGAAATATTCATGATTGCATTCTATTTTATCTTGAACTTCTTCTTCAAGTAAAAACCAACAAAACATCCCTGAAAATGTCAAAAAAAAAACAAGTAACGAAACATCATATGAGAGAGATAACAGAGTACTGCGCAATTTGTAACTAGCTTAACTTAGAAATCGTACTTGGAGATACACTAAATCCATGCATCCTCAGTAGCCAAAATGCCAAAGAGTCTTTGTATAGCTGTGGTGCGATTGAAGTTGTCGATTTTGGCCATGAATCTTGGTTCATGTAATTCCTGAGAAAAATGAAGTGGTAGAGAAGTAAGCTTACAAAATACTTATATCACCAAACTGCACTAATCAATCATAGAAGTAAATATCGTTATTAGCCTTTTTTATACCTGCAAACTTTGTCCAGCACTCCTTCAATCTCTTGTTTAAAATGCTCAGCCAAACCAAACCTTTGCAATTGGTTAACCATGCAAAGCTCTAATAGCTCTTCATCCAAGGGATAAGTTGGTGGGACTGCCTCACAAATAATTAAGATTCCCTTGAGAAAAATACATATACAAACACCAAATTGCCACACATATGATAATGACAAAAAAAATCTGACTTCATACTTTGAAAGGATATTTCTTTCGAAAGAATATTTCTAACCTCCATTATCACATCTTTGAACTAAAGATTGAAGGTACTTCAAGCAGTTTTTGTTTCCAGTAGCCATGAAAGCACTTGCGGTAGCAGAGGGGATTGGAATAATGAACCATCAGTATGCAAGTGCTTAACTACATCTTCTTGATCAAAGTGGTATAGAGTAGGCAATGCTTCAATATATGATATTAATGGAGGATGATGATACTTGTCCACAAGTTCTTCCCTAAATGAAAAAGACAACAATAATAGTAAGAATTAATCAAGATAGCCTCCAGTACGTACTATTTAAACTTGAACGTCAACAACAATACCTTTCAAGAATTTGTTCCCTTTTGTAGAATATGGCCATCACCACCTTCTTTAACCGAGCAGGAAAAGTGATCTCTAGATCATTAATTCGTGCTAGCTCAACAATTGCAGGGAAAACGATGGTAAACCAACGAGGACAATTATAGTCATATATTTCTCCAATAAGCTTCTCTGCGTTTTCTTCAATAAAGGCCATACCTGAGGACAAAAATGTTATAAGCAGAGATCATATATATATAAGCTATGCATGCATAATTGCAAAAACCTTTTTTGATTTCATAATTAAAGAATTCTCGGATTAGTTCTTGTGCAACAATATTAAAACTCTTCTTTCATCATTACTTATAAGATCAGCAGCTTCGATGAGCCTCTTAATGAAGAAGAAGTCGAAGAAACAACAACTATCCTACCCCATATCCCTACGTCTGTATACTATTATTAATTACCTTTATTAATTATCATTTCTTCGGCATTCCACTTTTTGAGTGCAATCATGCAAGCAATAGTTGCGGGAAGGCACTCAATAGTGGGCATGCCATGGCCATCATACTCTCCCCAGAACCCTTCTTCTTTCTGGTTGTTGAGCACCCAGTCCAAGCAATTCTTGAACATGGGTTGACATGGTTCGGACGTATCCGGAACCATGGCTAACCACGCAGTGTCATAAGCAGAAGGTGCAATAAACGAATAGGGATCGATGCTGTCGTCTAACAACAACTCTTCCTTGATAGTTTTAACTAAACCGTGAATATCGGAAGATTTTGAAAATTCCATACTTGAAAGAGGATTTTAGAAAGAAAACAAATGTGTTTCAAATCTATTGAGAGTGAGAGTATTAACAAGCAAGTGCACTATATTTATAACCTTCATGAACGTATGGCCCATGGCATACAAAACGTGTAGTTGCACAATCTCGTCCAAAAGTTCACACATCAATTTGACTTGGAATAGGTCAATGACATCCATTGCCTCAAACACTTAAAATTGGTTTAATCTAAAAAACCAATATCACGCAGAGTGGGTATCAACGGAGAGAAATTTTATAATACATCGAAATAATTAAGTAATACGTACGTAGGTGATCTACTGAGTTCATTTTGAGGAGAGATATAAATATACAAAAAGAGAAAGAGAGAAACAAGAGAGAAAAAATAAAAAAATTTGAAAGAACGTGAAAATCTTCTTAAGACTTTTAGAGCATCTCCAATGGTGCTCTTTACTTTTAGCTAGCATTTTTAATGTAAATAGAGAGTATCATTAATTATATAGATAGAAGATCAATACCCTCTCTAATGCTACTCTGTATTTAACTCTTTATTTTGATAAAATCTATAAAACCCATAGAGACTATTGGTGAAGAGGTTGAGTGGCATTGGAAATAGTAATTTTCATTAATAAAATATAAGATAAAGAGTCATTTGGACTCTCTAATATTGGAGAGCCAAAGACACTCTTTATACTAATTTTAAAGATAAAGATTGTGATAAAGAGAGCATTGGAGATGAAATTTGGATCAAACCTCTTTATTATAAAGAAAAATCTTAATATAAAGAGAGCATTGGAGATGCTTTTAATGAATATATATGTAATTTTTATCTTTTTTTATGTGTTTATCTCTCTCTTCAAAATAAACCTATAAAATAATTACCGTACAGATCATTAAGTTACTTATTAATATATTATAAAATTTCTCGTAAAGAGGCTCTGGTTGGGTACTATTTCCCATTTCGTGGGACAAGCCACCGCCCTCAAGTAATTCTAGTGACCAAAACAGATAAAGTCATTTCAAGGAAAATTCAAAAGATATTCTTATTCGTGACCCCAAATTAACCAAACATGTTAGGCAACCTGTCATGCTAGCCAACGAGTATGTGATAACTTGAAAGGATTGGTTTAATAGTTAAAAAATTGTTTTTTTTCCTTAATGTTTTATATTTAAACCTTAAAGTTATTATTAAGATGAATTTATTAAATTTTTTTAACTGTATAATTGTTCAGAGAAAAATTTAATTTTGATGCATGCAAAAATTATTTGCAAAATATTCTATCGTTAAAAAAAATCCTGCCATGCCATAAAAATAAAGATGGAAATAGATAATTAATGCTTATATCGCAGTATCTTTAATGGAATATTTGTGGTGAGAAATCACACGTACCCACGATTGCGTTAAAGAAGACAAGCACCACGGAATGCAGATGACTATATTGCCACGAACGTGATGTGTGTGGTAGATATTGCCTCCTTGCCCGTTGCCCTTTGCCAAATTGATACAAGATACCCTCACTCACCTGCATAAGTACGAACTTCTGCGAGCTAGTGCTCGGATAACTTACAGGAATAACTATTAGAAAAATTATTTAAGAAGTCAATCAATTTATTTTTATATTTCTCAAAATCAAAACAATATTTTTCTTATCAAAATACCCAATAGACAATCTTTAATTTAACACTAGTTAATTATTATATGTTTTGATAAGATAATTTTTTTTTCTTTTTTTAAAGTTTGAGAGATTTAAAAAATAAATTGATAAATTTTTTAAATAGAAATTTTTTTAAAGGTATTTTAGTAATTATCTAATAATAAACTTATTTTATAGTTTTTAATGAGTTTGATAGTGTTTTTTTTATCATAATCATGTTCATGTTCTTTTTTATTGTAACCGAAAGAAAAAAAAGTTTTTTGATGTTTATTAGCTACTGACAAACTGACTTTCTGCTACTATTTTTTCATTATACTAAAAAATTCTCTATGTAAGAGTTGTTGTTATTTTTTTTTATCAATCATTTATTTCATCAACTACAAAATTATTTTTATTATCTACTAACTATAGTAATAGATGCATTTCAAGTAATTAATATTGATAAAATGAGACTCATATTATCCTTTTGTAATTTAACTCAAAGGTTATCATACAAAAAATAAGAATGTATATGATTATAAACATTAATGATCTCTTAAATCCTAATATATTGATGGGAAAAAAAAACACAATCGGTAGTATTAGTTTTTAATTAATCAAAACTCGAACTTTTTTTATCAAGCAATTAAATTAAATTTGAGGATAAATGTATAATATATTTTGATGTATTAATTAAATAGAGCATGATCATCTACAATATAAATAAATACCTTGAAATTAAGATAAGGATTTCATTTAAACTAGGAATAATTATTAGAAAACTCTCTAAAAAAATCTTCTATCTAAAATATCCACTAATTTATTTTTAAATCTCTCAAACACAAAACAATATATATTTTTTTTTTACCAAAATACTTCTTTAAATCTCCTAAATCCAAAATAATATATATATATATATATATCAAAACACTCGATGATTACTATTATTTTTCAACTACCCGCAAAAAATAATTTTCAGCAAGTCTTTGTTAAAGCCATGGCTCAACGTGAAGCTAACAATATACTAAAAGCACGCAGACTAAGAGGATATTTGATAAAATTAAAAATTAAGAGTTAAATTTATTAAATATTGAATTTTAAATATTAAATAATTAAGTATTGAATATATTCACAATAAATTGTTTGATATGTACCGGGTAATTAAGGTTTTTTTTATTTTAACAATGGAGATAGTAAAAATTATTTTTCAATTGATTTGGATAGCTAAAGTTATAAGAATATATAATGATGATGAAATTATATTTGAAAAGTTTTAAAAATCTTTTAACTAAACGTATTAATAAAAAAGTAACAAGTTAAAAATTTTAACTTATCCGATTAAGTAAATTTTGACTGAATTTAAATTTTTAATATGAAATTATTTAAGTTATGAAATAAATTTTTTATATTAAATATTATAATTTAATTTTTAAAATTTTTTAAATAAGTTATCAAAGTTTTTAGATAAGCGTTCATCATCATCTTACGTCAATATGGTTCTAGATCATTACGCTGCATCTCGTGGTGTCTATCATCTTTTCGTGAAGGGGGCGTTTAGGGTGTTCTTGCAAAACCTGAGGTTAAATAAATTAGAATTGTCCAAATTGACAACTTTGCATCTGCTGGTGGCCGTATGGTACGCATTCCGACACTGAATGCTTTGATTTCTCGGCGGTGTGTCCCAATCCGGTCAACTTATTTCTGACCGATTGTTTTGTTTGGAGATTTAATGTTTTGAAAAAAATGCTTTTCACTTGAAAATATGCAAGCCAGTTAATATAAAACTATTTTTTTAAGTTTACGTAAAATTGATTAAATTATGATATTTTTATTAGATCATATTTAGTAAGGTGTTAGTTAAATTCACCATCAAATTTGTTATTTTCACAATTTATTTTTTTTGAAATTACTAATACACAATCTTCATTAATATTTAATGTTTGAATACAGAGGAAAATTCAAAGAAGAGATTGAAGGAGAAGCGAAAACTTAATTCTCTTTTTTGTTGTGCATGCAAAATTCAACTTACTTTCAAAAGTCATTGTCTATTTATTATACTGACAGAGGATTGGAAGGAAGAACTAACTTGTAACTAACTAATTGAATTAATTATAACAAAAATAATTAAATAAAAAATTGCCACGTGTAGCTCTCTTAATATTTATTACTATGTCAAATAGTTAAAATACCGAAAAATTAAATGTGCATGAAAGCAAAAATAAAAAAACTACAAAGAAAAAATATTGATGAATATTTTAGATAGTAATATATTTAATTATGACATTATAACAAGCATAGATGAGAGGCTGCGTTAATAATTAAAAAAAATGGTGAAAATAAAAAATTTAATGTTGAATTTAATAGTACCTTATTTAATTTTATGTTGCTAAAGGGCACGACTGTCTAATACATTGAACTTAGAATACTCACTGTATATCCAAGAAGCATACAAAGGTTGCGTGATACATGAAACTTGTTGGGCGACTGCTATTTTTTTTGGAGACTGTTATGAGTTAATTTCTTGACTGACAAAGACAGAATAGGGCCTTCTTGAAATTTCACGAAATAGATTTGCTTGAAATTGGCTATATGCAAGCAGGCCACACGTTCATGATTTGATTTTGATTGCAAATAGATTGTTGACTTTACTATTTCTGGCCGCCAAAAAGTCCCATTCATACGGCAAGTTTCATGCTACACACACACACATATATATATATATTCTTTTAATTTGTCTTCATTAACAAACAATAAATATTCTACCTGCAGTAGTATCAAGTTTCTATCTTTTTCTTTTTTTTTCAATCAAATCAAGTTTGTTTCTCAATCGTTAAATTAATAGCCAAAAAAAAAAAAAAAAAAAAGAGACAAACCCTACAAACCTACAGTTACCCTTACTAAATTTTTTTCTACGTCGGAGGAAAAGGAAAGAAATTTTGAAGGAAAAAATTCAGTTTCATATGAATCATGGATGCATTTGCCGAATTTACATGCCAGCTTCCCCTTATCTTGGCATGGAATGTAAAACTAATGGATGAAAAGGATTGATGGCTCAATTGATCCACTTACTTTCGGAGTCTCCTAATTAATTAATTATTGTTCCTTCCAAAATTAAGTATGTATACGATTTTTTAAAAAAAATTAATTAAGTCATTTAGCTAATTTTTATTATGTGTTAATACATATTATTTTTTTATTTATATGGATCCAAACTACACAATAAATGAGTTAACTTGAGGATGAATTTTGTTTAGCCCAAGGTTTTGAATTGTAAGGATGAACTCATATATTTTAGCGAGAATCAATGATCATCCTTGACTTTGAAATACATTGGAGAGATTGGATCGGTAAAGCTCGAGTAGGATCTACTAAAA